ACAAGGAAAGATTTATCCTGATTGGATCACTGAATGTTTCATTCAAGAAGAGGCCGATCACACGTCCACTTGTACGATCACACTCGACTCTTTCCCATCGGCAACAGTCACTCTTCGTGTCATTAGACCAATCATATGAATATTCCTGGTTCACATAAGCCTTTAGATCCAACAATCCCTTCCTCTCCTTCTCAATGCAACTTCTATACCCTTGCATTTGTAGTGATACAACCATGACCCATGCTCCGAAGAAAAACTGCGGTATAGAGAACATCAACATTTCTGCGAAAAACCAATAAAAACAAAGAAGGTGAAAAGAGTTTGTAGCTCAATGACACAAAATAACTCTTCAAAAGTTTTATATCCAACAACCTCAAGTCAATGACTTGGTAATAATATCATTATGTGAAGAAAATTTTTAGTATCTTTGTTATTTAATTAGATCGTATTCTTCAAGAAGATTTTGGCAAAAAACTTTGACTTTTCTTATATGGGTTCAACGGTTAATATGGTTATTCTATAAGGTGACCATTGTTAAAAATTGTACAAGTCCAACGGTAACCAAATGACTTATGTGATTGGCTTAGTTTTCTTAATGGCTCACAAAAAAAAAAAAATATCATTGTCCTAACAATATATGAACAATTATTGGTATTGGATTATATTGACAAGTGGATATGACTTGTGACCAGGCAATGAGACGTATCCTTTGCGTAACTTTTTCTTCTCTGGATAAGCTTTTGCCACCTCATTCTCTTTTATTCCAAAATTCATATTTTTGTTCTTTTTTCTACAAAATTGTATTTAAACTGTTATATTACTAATCCAAAAGAAGAATCAGTTTGCACTATTGATGGAAAATAATACACAACCAAATATCTAAAAGATACTATAATAGTAAAGATCAAAGACCTTAGCCAAAACAGAAATAGACTGTTCAACAAAAATGGCGTTTACACTAGGTGAGTCTTAAAGATCAAAATCTGATCACAGTTCAGCTGAAACTATTTCCCAAAACGACGTCGTTTTGTTGCCTTGATCAGGTCGAAGAGCTCGTCGTCTAGTCTCTGCAACATCGGTTCATCAAAATGGTTGTTTACACAAAGTAAGTCACACACCTTGTTCTTTATTTCCTTAATCACATAACTTCAAATATGATTTTGTTCAAACTTTTCTAAATTTTAATATAATTTTTGAAGCTGCAACAAACGGGATCGGATCGGTTTCAGCTTGGTGAAGCAAAAGCAATAAGATTATTACCCAGGTGATAAGATAAAGTTTGGTCTTTATAGTTCTTGAAAAAAAAAATGTGAATCAAAGAATAAAGACAGAGATTACTCTGTTTTCGTATTGTAGGAGGACGAACATGGTTCAAGAATTGGGAATTGGAGAAGAGCTTATGGAGAGAAACAGAGAAACAGACAGAAGTTATGATTTTCTGGGTGAGATGAGACAGAGATTTATGAGATTCAAGAGACAAAAGTATCTGTAAGCAAGAAACTCATGTTCTTGATTTTTTATAACCTAAATAAAAGAACTCTGCTTTTTGCTCTGTTTTTTGTCTTCTCTGATTCGCTTTGAATTGATGGATGAAATCTAAAAATCAGACCCGAGATAGAAAAGTTTCAAGCTTTGGCCATAGCTCAATCACCAAAGGTGAGCTTTATTAAAACTAAAGTTGAATCGACTCGAAATAGCGGAATATGTGCCTAAGGAATCAAGAAACTATTGCGGTTCGAACCAAACTAACAAGGATAAGAAATAGGTTATGGTGATAGGATGTGCAGATTCAAGGGTATGTCCATCTTATGTACTAGGATTTCAACCTGGTGAAGCTTTTACTATACGAAATGTCGCCAATCTCGTTACCCCGGTCCAGGTGCTTTTCACAATTTCTCCTTTTGTACTTATATAATTTCCATCAAGAAAGCTTCTAAAATCCTTTGAATGTTTTCCTCTGTTTTTGAAAGAATGGACCAACAGAAACAAACTCGGCTCTTGAGTTTGCAGTCACCACTCTTCAGGTAAGTTTAAACACTATAAAAAAATGAACATTGCAGCAAAAGAATAGAATGTATATATGATTGTGTTTCTGCATAGGTTGAGAACATTATAGTAATGGGTCATAGCAATTGTGGAGGAATTGCAGCACTTATGAGTCATCAAAACCACCAAGGGCAACACTCTAGGTAGATATATATAAACAAGTTCTTAAGAAAAAATCAACAACTCTTTAAATTGTTCTTGATTGTTGCACCTACTTTTTATGTTTGTAGTTTAGTAGAGAGATGGGTTATGAATGGGAAAGCCGCTAAGTTAAGAACACAATTAGCTTCATCACATTTATCCTTTGATGAACAATGTAGAAACTGTGAGAAGGTAACTAAATTTCATACATATTCTCTTTTATTTTCAGGTCTTTTGTAACTTGAATCTGATTAAGTGTTTATGTGTGTGTGTGTGTGTGTGTGTGTTTGGGCAGGAATCTATAAAGGATTCTGTGATGAATTTGATAACTTATTCATGGATAAGAGATAGAGTAAAGACAGGTGAAGTCAAGATTCATGGATGTTATTACAACTTGTCAGATTGTAGTCTTGAGAAGTGGAGACTAAGTTCAGACAAGGATAACAATGGCTTCCATATTTCAGACAGAGAAATATGGAGTTGAGTAAATATAGAACAATCCTCAGTTCTAACATTCAGATGTATCTTTGTACATATGAAATGATATATAAACAATTTGAAAAAAGAAAAGAAAGAGTAATATTGTAATAAGGGAATATAATAAAGGTAAATTGGTCTACTAGCAGCTTTAGTGCATTGGTTTTTAATATTGTCGGGGGCTATGGTTTACACAAATACGAGTTAACTAGATTGATAATCCGTGCTACGCCCGAGTCCTATATTTCTTAAATTGTTATTTGTAAAAAAAATATGAATCTATCAAATGATGATTTTATTGTAGTAATTGAGTATAGTGTATGTCGATTCTTAGTATAGTGTTCAGTGGCGGAGCCAGAAATTTTGCTTATAGGGGTCATAAAACATTTAAAATTTAAAATAAACTAAATAAATTTTCTTATATATATACATAACTTTTAAACCTAAAATGTTTCATATTTCATCTTTCAGATTAAAAATGTTCGCAATTTATCTTTTTCTAGTTATATCATCAAAACTTTTTTTTGCTAATATATATAATATATATTGTGGAGATTGATTAGAAAGAAAATATATTTTAAAAAGAATTTTGAAAAGAATGTAGAAATTAAAATAGTATTTGTCTAAAAAGAAGAAAAAAAATTGATATGTTAATAGATATTACATGGTTTTTTAATAAGAAAAAAGATATTATAGATTTTTAACCAAACAAAATTGTAAAAATGTATTAAGATTAAATGAAAAAATGAATATGCATGGGGTCAAAGACAAGAATAGATCACATAACAAGGGGTTATTGTGAATATCTTAACCCAAAATATTAAATTATATTAGGAGATTACCTTATAATTAAAAAATTCTATAAATGTTATGGGGGTCAACTGACCCCCCTCCTTGTACGTTGCCTCCGCCACTGATTTAGTGTTTGAGTTTTAAAATGTATTTTAATTTTTAATAGTATAGATTATAACGTATGTGTTTTTAGTGAAAGTCCGAGGGATAATATTTTTAATTTGTATTAGTTAATTATATTATAATTTTTTGTTGGTGTTAGTTTGTATACATGTTAATTATTTTTAGAATGATTGAATTAATAGTATATGTTGATTGTTATTAGTAGGCTTGGACATTCGGATACCCGTTTAGATTCGGGTTTAGATCGGTTTCATTCGGTTTAAGGTATTCGATTAGGGATTTAACAAAAGAATTCGGCCTTGAATATAGATAGTAGTTTCTAGCATGGTTTATGGTTTTTTTGATAGAATTTGTAGTGATGATAAAAAAAAATATAGAGAGATTTGTTTATTGTACAAAATTTTACTTTAAAATTCTAGATAAAAATTTTGAGAAGTCGAAATTGAAATGCCTAGATGTTATAGCTTATTCATTTGCCAAAAAGAACCTTTGTTGGATAGAGACAAAATGTTCATGGAAGTTGGAATACAAATTATTTATTTTGACGGAAATCAAATATATTAAAACAAAAACAGACAATAAATATTCAAATTTGAAGAGATTAATCCAAAAATGGAAATTTGTATAATCGTACAAAAAAAGTCTACATAAACAATTTTTCAGCGAATACACAAAATGCATTTTTCTTAGCTCCATCATGAATCATGATACACTTGCAACCATTATGCCATTCATTTTTAGCTCAATTATCTTCTTAAGAATAAATTATTATAGATATGTAAATATGAGTTTAATTTCACTATAAACATAGTTATATATCAATATTATTTCTTTTCTTTTTTTATGACAAAAAAATATCAATATTATTTTCGCATAATTTACATAAAATTTTAAATACGCCTTAAAATAGTTTAATTTTAATATAGAAATCTGTGTATACTAAATTAAATGAAACTTTTCGGTGTTAAACTTGAACATCTTCCAGTTTTTTGTTTTTCTTCCCAAAATTTATTATTTAGTTGTTTTTACTTCATTGGTAATGTAAGAATTATATATTGTAAAAAAAAAAAAAGAATTATATATTGTTTTTAATAATTTGAAATTTGATGAGATGACACTCTATATGAATTATTGCATAACAATAGTTATATTAAATTTCCTTTATAGGTATATAAGTATATAACTAATAAATTTAGTCATATTAATTATATCTCTTATTTATATGGCATAAAATCTTAGAAAAGTCAATAAATAAATAAAAAACCATTATTACTAATTATAATTATTTCTTATAAAAATAAAAAATAATTGATGAGGTGTTTCTCTAATAGGAGAGTGCTTATTTTGACATTGTATATATGATACTTGCATTCCTTAAATCTATTCCATCAATCACTTCTCGTTTATTCTTGAGAAAATCAATGAAGAACATGTCCAATCTTCCACAAGACTTGGTAGAAGAGATACTCTCTAGAGTTCCGTTGACATCTTTGAGAGCGATGCGATCTACTTGTAAAAAGTGGAACACTCTATTTAAAGATGAGAGGTTTACAAAGAAGCACATTGCCCAAGTTGCTGTAGAAACTACTAAGGAAAGGGAGTTTGTGGCGATCATGTTGCTAAACTTTAGGGCTTATTTAATGAGAGTCAATCTCCAAGGAATTCATAACAACTCTAATCCATTATTAAAGCCTATAGGTAAACTTATTAGCCTAGACACTTCAGATCAAGTCAATATATCTCGGGTATTTCGATGCGAAGGTTTATTGTTATGCACCACAAAAGACTACACTAGGCTAGTAGTTTGGAATCCGTATTTGGGACAAACTTTGTGGATCTGCGTCGAACCAAGATTTGTTCGTCACAGAAAGTTCTACTACGTAAATGTTCTCGGATATGACAAGAGCAAATCATGCTACGCTTATAAAATCTTGAGATTTGCTCATTTTTTCTTTGAGAAATCTATCCACGAAATCTACGAATTAAACTCTAATTCATGGAGGGTTCTTGATGTCACTCCACACTGGTGTATATCGTATAATAGTCATAGTGTGTCTTTAAAGGGAAATACCTACTGGTTTACTTCCAATCTAGAATCAAAGGATAAATTCCTTGAATTACTCTGTTTTGATTTTACTACGGAAAAATTTGGACTGCATTTGCCTTTGCCGTTTGAATTTTATTACTGCCAAACTGTGACTTTATCTGCTTTTAAAGAAGAGCAGCTTGCGGTGTTACATCAGAGCTCGTATGGTGACCTTGGGATGGAGATTTGGATTACGACTAAAATTGAGCCCAATGAGGTTTCATGGAGTAAGTTCTTAGCGGTTTATATGCGACCACTCACTGGATTTCAGTTTAATACTGGTGGAAGTTTCCTGATTGACGAAGAGAATAGAGCTGTAGTTGTTTTTGATACTGATAAACATATATTTAATCCCACTCGCAACATAGCTTACATCATTGGAGAAAATGGTTACTACAGAGAAGTGGATCTAGGAGAAATAACAACTGAGAGTTTCCCGCTTGCGTGCCCTTATGTTCCAAGTTCAATGCAAATCAACCAACATCCATGAGAACCAGATTTATTGATTTCTTTTGTCTTGCTCTTCTAATATAGTTCTATGCAATATGAAAAGTAATAAATTGTTACCAGTTATCTGTTTTTTTTTTTTTTTTTTTTGGTAAAAGGTTAAATTTCAGTTATCTGTTTTTAAGCAACTCCTATGACTTCTATATTTTTGTTTAGCATTCAAAAACTCTAAATTAACTCAAGCATCTCTTTTTGTTTTGAAGGAAAAATATCAGATATATCCTGGAGCGTTGGCTAGTAGTAAGAAACTGCATTTCCATATTTTGAAAGATCAGAATGCTCTTGTTCTTATTTTGATAGATATTAGTAAGAGACAGAATTTTGTGGACTATTATGCTCGATGGTTACTTCCGAGCTAAATTCTTTAATGAATCTCTATAAAATTTCCTCACAGTTTGTGCTCACCTGAGTGCCTTGGAGCCGTACAAACATATTAAAACTAAAACCTTAAAGCCAATCTCTTCACTTTGTGGTTCATCATTACTCATTATTTGATTTTTTTAAGGAACAGAGAAGAAATTAATTTAGACTTATTATGTTTAAGCTATGTCACTTAGGAATTAGTATTATGTATGTCGAGCTTATATGGTTTAGTGATAAATAACTGAATGCTTTATTTTGTGACATCATATGTCTACATCAGTATTGCGACCTTTGTTCTAGGAAAAGTAGTCAAAGTGACTGAAACCCTGATTCCCACCACCACTATGTGGAGATGAAAAACCATACAATAAATAATACTAATAAACAAGAAATGACAAATCAATAGTGCAAAACATAACAATTATACTCGACGATGGCGTTCCCTGTCTTAAGATGAAACTCATGTGTTCTTGCTTCAACAAAACCTCTAGCAAATCGGAAAAGTCCACTCCCTCCGATCACTGGCATCTCCCTCACCTTATCAAACACCGAGTTTCTTCCGAAAACTGTAATCGTGCTTCCATTGTATTTCCCATCAAGAATCGCAAAATTCATAGCCATCAATAATCCTATCTCTTCTTTAGATGTGGCTGCATAAAACCCTTGTGCCCTTCCCACCATTTTGGAGCTTAATATTGGGGTGAGCGTTAAAGGGTTATCAATCATACGCATGCGACCGAAACCCGTTGGCCCCGTGTAGTTTTTCGGAGGATTCATGATTGACACCGAAGACGGATCTTGGCCGGTTACGATATCGTGCCAGTAAACTCTGAAATGAGTTAGTTTCTCTTTCTTGTGATGCAAGAAATTAGATTCTCCTGTGACGGAAATTAGGACGAGGGCTAGTGTTAGAGAAGAAACAATAAACAAGGAGAGAAAACTGGCCATGGTGGAGACTGAAGAGGATGACTTTAGTGGATTTTGTGGCTACAATTATATTTGCATTTTATGGTTTGATGTAATTGAAGATGTTGTGTTGACTGAGTTTTATAATCCATCTAAAATGTCATGAGATTGATGAATTGAGGAAGTGACTGTGATTGACACAAACCAGAGAATATATGGTGTTGAATCAAGAAACCAACAGTCTGATATATCAAAGGATGTATCTGACGTCTGACATAGTTCTTGAACTAGTTCCGACATTAATACAGGAAGCTTAGTTGTGACACTGCTTTAAAGAGTTGGAGTACAGAAGTTTGGGGACGACTAGGACAAGCCAAGAGACGTCTGCTGAGCTGGATAAACATCTTGAATAGTATATTCAAGATGAGAACGTGAAGACAAAGTTTCCTTGTCCATAAAGGAAAAGGAAATTTGTCAATTCCTATTTTGGTGTAGAATAGGAAATTCTTATTAGTGTAGAATAGGAAAATTGTCAACTCTAGGGTTGAGCAATTGTTATAAATACCAAGAGGGCGTTTCATGAAGACTTGCGCGCCTCAGGGTATTCTTGAGAGATGCACACAAGGTGTGTGGTGTCGCCCCACCAGATATGATGTAAGATCTATTGGTGGTTTATTCATCTAGAAAAGAATGATAGGCATAGTAGTGCTCGATATCATATGCAATTGTAATTGCAATCTTGTTCTAGTGGATTTGTTCTGGACTAGGTCCCGAGGATGTAAGAAAAACCGAACCCCGTTAACAAACTCTTTGTGTCGTTTACTTTATGCTCATACATACTCGGACTCGAACATATACGTACTCGAACACATAGACTTAGCCACAAATATGCGTTTACAATTGGTATCAGAGAGGGTGCTCGACAGAAATCTGTTCTTATTTCGGGTATGATCCTGGATTTGTGGCTAACTGCGAACTGGAAGCAGATGAGAAGGAAGAGTATTCACGAAGATATAGAGAAAAAGATTAAGGGTATATTCGGAGTTGTGTGATTTTGAAGAGACCAAGCGAAAAGGATAGATACGGTGTGATGAATATCTTCGAATTTTGACAGAGGTGGAATATGTCTTAAACTCTTAAGGAAGGTTTGTGCTATCCATCAGAGTTGTATGAAGGAAGAAGACAACTTGTTTCTATTGTCGTCGGGAAACGGTTGAAAAGAAGAGTTTTTCCTAACATGGGCTTGCTTTTGGAACTTTTGGCCCAATAATGATTCTTTTCTAAGCCTAGAGAAGGAAGACGTGTTTTGAAACAGTGTTTCACGATGGAGAAAAATTACTAGCAAAGGTTGACTCAGATTTGTTTGTTTCACGATTGGGTTTAATAGAGACACATGTTGGGTTTTGGGACTGACTTCTGGTGTCTTCTCTAGGGTGAACAAAATCGAAGGGATTTTGTGTGTGATTTTGGAGTGCTCTTGTATTGCTTCTTAGAGGAGTTAACGAGGAATTGTGTTTAATGTGGGTTGTTCACTCAAGGAGCAGTTTGTCTAATCATGTTCTTGTCTTTCTCGGCATTCGGAAGTTTGAAGAAGAATTCCAAAATCTGAAAAATCGATGGGCCGAATAGAATCATGAGTTTTGAAGAAGAAGAAGTGAATTTTGTTTTAGGAGAGAAACTTGGAGAGTTAAAAGGAAGATGTTTCCCGATGAAGAAGAGATAAGGTGGTTTTTTTTTTTTTTCAAAATCAGAAGAAGATAATATAATCTTTCCTTAATTCAATGGTTCTGGAAACAAAATCAAAGGTCATGTGTATCTGGTTTACTTTTTGGGTTATTTTCGGTTCAGATTTTGTTCTTGCAAGAAGATGGGTTAACTTCGGGTTTGATCATACAAATCGAAAAATCGTCTTGTGGTTTTGAATTGAATTGGTGAAAGGTGGAGTTTAATCTCTCAATCTGGAATCAGCGTGATGAAGATATATGTTCAGTTTCTGGGTTTCATAAATCGGTTGTTTGCGACTGTTCTTCAATATGATACTTAGATAAAGAGAGTCACAAATTCTGCTGAAGATTAAGAGATATTTTGAGCTGTTAAAATTGAGGTTCTCAGCTTGATATCTTTTTCTTGCTTGATTTGATGCATGATTTGAGGATTGATGTCATGTCTGGAGTTATTGGTTGAAGCAAAGAGAGGTCAATTTCGCGAAATTGAGGGCTGAAATATTCACATGTCTAGAATAAACATGAAGAGAATTTGTGATGGTGAAGCTTGCCCGTGGAAGAGACTTGTGATTCTGAAATCATTTTGAGCCTTAGTGGTATTCTCTGGTTTCAATTTAAGACTGAAAAGGAACTACAATGTCAGCATCTATCTCAGATGAAAGAAGTGAATATGGCCTTGGTGAAAGATTCGGAGTCGTCGAGTTCACATGTAAAATTTGCAGTCTTAAAGAACTGGCCGTGATTATGCAATCATCGGAGAAAGAAGACACTTGTATGTGTGAGTTTTTCACTGAAGACATTGCTTTTTAAAGCTTTGTCAAAGTAACCGGAGATGGTGAATAAACGAGCTTCGGTTGTCTCGTATCGAAACTGTCTCATGGGCTTCCTCTAAAATTTGGTTAGAGCCTTGAGATCAGAAGATGTGCTAATTCCATTTAAGCCAATCTACAGTTTTGGTTCCTCATTTCAAAGGGTTGAAATTTTTGGTAAAGTATACGGAAGCTTCTATAAGATTCAGAGGGGGAGTTTGAGTATCTTCTTCTCCGTTGAGATTGAGATTCACTGAAGTGAAAAATTTTGGGTTTTCAAAAGTGGAAATCTTGTCTACTGATTGAGAGAATCATAGAAAGAATTTGTGAGTGTCTCCTCCGAGAGAAAGTGCGAGAGGTTCCGGATAGAGGAGAGAATCAAAAAGGTCAGTTTCAAGTGTAAAGAATTCGAAATTTAGAATTTACAGTTTCCTCAACGGGAAAGAATGTTTGCGTTTTGTTGACAACTCTTGAAGCTTATTTTTGATTTGGCAATTTGAGGAAAGATCAAAAGTGATTCATATGGAAGGCTTAGAGTATGATACGTGAAACAGTTTTCTTAAGTTCTTGTTTGGTTAAAGAGGAAGATCGTTTCACCAAGATTATGTTAACATACGTTTAAGCACATATCAGTAGATGAGTTCTTCACTAAGTTTTATAAATAAAAGGAGGGAGAGAATTTGAAGACTCCAAGAAAGCTCATGAATTGGGTAGAATTTAAATCTTGGTTGAGTTTTTGCTTATGATACTTAGTGAAAAAGGATGAGATACAAAACTGATCATGTCAGTGCTTAAACGAGAAGGCGTCTGAACATTGATAGAAAAAAAGGAGAAAAAGGCTGGAACTGAATAAGTGTGTGCTTTATTCAAGTTTTATTCAAGTGTGACAAGTCAGCACAAGTCAGAGGAAAGAAGACTCAGTAGCTAGATGTTCTTGATCATCTTATGGTAGAGAAAGTTGATGAATTCAGAAATCAAAATCAAACAGAGCAAGATGAAGATTCAACCAACTGGTTTCTCAGGTTTACGGAAGTGGTGGCTGGTTGTGACCGCTGTTGATGGTATAAACCAACAAGATAAAGGTATATGATAGAGAATTCTCAATTAACAAGGTCGGTGTTGATATTTGAAGTACTACATAATAAGCTTATGCAAAACCAGCAAAAGAAGTCTGAAATGAATCTCGATCTAAAGATGCCAACGATGAGTCCCAATAGTTGTTCTTCAAAGTCTAGGCGTGGATATGTTTGTGTGTTCCCAATGTGACCTCAAGACACAGAAGTGAAGTCGACATCTTTTTAAGTCAAAAAGTGAAGTTTAGCTTTGATGTCTACTTCTTGAAGATTTTGTTTTGCTTCCGGTGCAATCATTAAAAAGAATTCTACAAATGCTTCTTGTCATGAGAAAGAAAGATGAATCAAAGATGAGCCTATGAAATATGGTTCTTAAAGATGTCGCTGGTATTTGTGAAGAAATCAAAGAATGATGAAAAGAAGAAGATTCGGGTTTCAAGAACAGTTTTCTTTCTCGGGTTGCTACTTTATTCTTCAGTTACTATGGTTACAGACCTCGGATTTGAGCTACGAAAGGTATTCTAGAAACTTGAGAGCGATATCTTTCCAATGATATAAAGATCGTTGTCTGGTTCCTTGTGGTTTGATGGGAAATTGCTCCCAAAGTTGCATGCTCGCAGGTTTATAGCATTTTGGATCTGTCTTGGAAAATCATTCATAACTTCCAAACGGTAAATCCAAATCGTGATCCGTTTTTTTTCCTGTGGCTTCCTATGACTGTTGTTGATATCTCCACCAAATTTCATAATTTTCTGGGTTAGTTTGCTACTCCGTTTGTGTTCTGCATCAAGACAGATCAAGAAGCTCAGTTCAAGTGTTCTTTGACTTTGAGAATCATGCCTCTGTTGTTGATTCAAAATCATGGTGATGAAAGCAAGATTTACTTAGTGACAGCATATGTTCATGAAGATTTTGTCAAGATGAGCATTTTTCCATTCGCCGTGGTATACTAGGACTAATATTGCTCCAAGGCTCTACAGTTTTACATTTTCTAGGAACATGTTGATGGTGGACTGTTTCAAGTTGAGGAAGATATGAGTTAAGGTCTTTCAGTCTGGGAAGAGTGAAGGTGAAGAGGATCTAAACTGCATCAAAAAAAAAAAAAAAAAAAAAAAAAGGAAAGAAGATTATTAATTGATCTGGAAAGGATTACAGAAATCTGTTTCAAGATAGCATCTTCAACAGAAGGATTGGAGATCCAAAAGTTGATCATGCTGAAATTTTATGGGGGACTTTGTGTTATTATGGGCTTGAGATTCAACGGTGGGATTGAAGTTTTGACGGTTGAATTGCATTTTATTCAAGCGGTTTCAATCTGTTCCAGAATCAGTCCATTCAAAATATCAGTTTTGAACAGTTCTGGTGGAGACATCAAATGAGCGACCAAAGAAACTCGGAATGAGCTGAATTTTTGCAGAGACATTCTAGCTGTGAGAAGTTAGTTTCTGATAGAAAGGCACTGGATTCGGAGTTCGGGAACATAGTTGAATGATGGCGTTTCAGATCGGTTATT